GAGAAAATACAAAAAAACATTTTATTTTAACATGAAAATATCACAAAAATTAGTAAGCCTGAGATGTAGGGTTTTGGTGAAAAACAAGAGGCTTGTAGTGTTTTGGCTGCTGATAAAGATGCATGTATTGATAGCTGGGGTGAAAAGCAGAAGAATGCACTTATTTCTTCTGCATGTCAGTATCTTCAAACACAGTAAGCCACATGCACCCTTCTTTCCTTGTGTAGATGCTGGTTCACCATGTTTAATTCCAGCGGAAGTGGATCTGACGTGGGCGGTCAGCCCCCTCCTTTACCAATGGCTTATGGAATTCACGTCCTGCACGAGAGTGGATATTTGCCCAACAAAACTCACAGTAATACTGCAGGCAAGTGACATTGGCACAAAAGAAAGGAGCAAACTTTCCACCGCATCGCGCGCCCTGGCATTCGTCACACATCTGGTCATCCAACACATATGGCTTTACCTCCACCTGTTGGAGCAAAACAGAAACAATTCTGCTTAATACCTGTTCCTACTTACAAGTCGCATGAGGCCATTCAGGTTGTTCTGGTTTAAGAAAAATAAAGATGTCTGAAATCAGACGTATTAACGCCTTCATCTAACTAAACAGTTATTACTCTCTACCATTTATCAGCTACAGACCTATTCATACAGTAGCAGAACACTTCAAGGCAGATCTTCAGAAGTACATTATATATGTAATAAATAGCTACATCAGAACCTCCCTTAATTTATTCTGGAAGGATGTTCTTGGCAAATGATAACATGGAACCACGTGTAGAAAACAGGCAAACAAGACCAAAGTTCTCCCAACTAATCTCATCAGCTCCCAAATGTACCCCAACATGACACCCAATTCTATACTCTTCAGCAAGAAATAACTGAACTTACAAGAACGTAACCATTTATATATTAACCTTTAAAAAACCAAACCAAACCCACAAGTCTCTGCACACACTACTTTTGCGTGCAAATTAAAAGTAGTTTCTGCAAGCTGGAATACAGATCTTTGGGGACTCCTGTTCACCGTAAATTCACTCCGGATTTCTAAAATATGGTCAAATTTGGAGCTACAGATTTTGGTCATCTATTACTTGCCCCTTTTTGTGGCCTTGAGCTGTACAGAAATTTTTATTCAATGTATTTCTGAAAATATTTTTAGAGACCATTTTGCAAGTCTACAAACTGCTAGAAACACCTGCCTTACACGGCTTCTTTCTCCCAAACTCATCTGACTGCCAGAGTGGAAAAGTGGCAGGAATCCAGTGGCAAATTTGCTTTATGTCTTTGCGTAACTGAACTGTTGCAGACTGCCATCAGACAGGAAGAAGAACTTCATAATAAAACACAAAATGAGTTGACTCCATTATTAAGGAATGTATTGTTGTCTTTCACGTTTTCCTCACTTTTAAAAACGGTATTTTTTGCCTTTTGTTGGCAAAAAGAGCTATTCCAGTTCATACTAAAACTCATTGCTATGAGAGATTTTTTTCTGAGATACTATTACGTGAGAAGAATGCTTACACATAGACATTGACTTTATGTACTATACTCAGAGTATGTTTGAAATAATGAGAACTTCAAAATGCTATTTCTTCCACTGTCTCTCCAGAGGAAAAAAAACTTGCACATACAGCTACCCACTGAAAATTTTAACAGCAGAACAGTCTTCATTTTCTTAGCTCTAGAAGCAGAGGTCATACTTGACATGGCAAACCCATCTATGTTTAAAATAGAGTGTGCTTCCTCTAGTAATCTATATTCAGCACAAGCTCTACTACTTACTTCACTACGATGACCCGTCTTACCACAAGTTACACTCAAACTTTGCAATAAACAGCTACCTTATGCATTAACTGTGTTTGTGGTTCAAAATTGCTGAAAGTACAGAGCAGCACATATTTCAAGCTTCAGTGCATTAATGCACCAAGATCGGTATGAAGAGGATTTCAAATGTACTGGAGAAACGCTTTGGGGAATGGAAGTATTACATGAAGTGGATGCAGACTGCTGGCATATGAAAGTTAACAACATTTTAAGGAATTGTTTGGAGCTGAAACTCCAAACGAGTTTCAAGGAAATGTTTGGAGCTGAGCTTTCATATATGATAAAACAGGATGAGGAGCACTTTACTGAAGAAAAACATCTGTTAGAGAAACTAAACATATCTACACATCAAAAGAACTGGCGAGAAGCTGCAGAGTACTTAGGTGGGGAAGAAGTTAAGATCACAGGCAGTGTTTGTTAAGAGACTGTGGCAAAGATTTCCAATTAAGGTAGGAAAAGGTATGTACAAAAAAAAAAAAGCTATAAATACTTTGAACTGAAGTTCGAAAGGATAAACAGGTGAACTGCAAAATTTAGCAATCAAAAATACTTTCACACAGACAAAACTGGTTATGAAAAGAACGTGAAAGGGCAGCAGACCTACAGAAACTAGATATAACTGGTACAGCAAGGCCATGCTAAGGTAAAGGGTAAGAGAACAGTACTGGCCTCTAAGATTTCAGTGAAGTATGTCATATATCGCTTTATTGGCCAGCATACATACACACCGCAGACGAAGGCAGTACCAGAAATCAGACCATCTTCCTCCTTTACAAATAGTCGTTTACAAATTCATACAAATTGCTTGCTCATCTACAAATCAGCAGTAATACTGATTATGGAATATTTTCAGAGCCTGAAAAGGCATTAGTTTATAAACTCCACGGAGCAAAAGCAACTATTTCCGAAAATAGGTTTCTTTCATACTTTCAGAAACAGACAAGAGCTAAAGTATTCCCTAAAGAGAGGCTGTTCCCTCATACTCCTCAGTAACACAAATAACTGGGTTGTATAAATAGATATATAATTATATAAACAATAAGAAGTGACCATATGATTTAATTAGAGAAGATGATTAAAAAAAAAAAAAAGATTAAAAACCCTCTGAAATAAACAAAGACATTCGTACACCTTCCCCATCACAAGGTCTAAAGACAAATTTTTTAAAACACTTAGATTTGGTATTGCTATATTTTGCAAGTAAAACACCTCAGGAGTAGCACACATTTTTAAAGAAAAAGCAAGGATCCTAACAAAGTGCCCAAAATTCCAGATTTAAGAAAATACTTGAATCAAAAAATTAATTCCCAAGAATTAGAAAAGCAACGCTAAAGAAGGAACACAAATCATAACAACCAAAACAGAAACTGTGAGAATTCAGATATTGAAAGAGAAAGCCTAGAACTGCCTTCCCTCTCCCCCTCAACCTCTCCAGCCCATGAACAGCTAACTACAGATACTACTTATACTTGTTTCTTATTTTCTTTTCTTTTTTTTTCGTAATAGTGATTGAAGACATCATTTGACTACTGTTTTTCTACATTAAGTCTCATGGATAAAACTCAACGCTGTGCTTCTGAAATCTAGTATTTGGGGTAGATTCCCCCCCGCCCCCGGTCCTAGCTCGAAGAGGCCTGCAGCACATGCCCACCGTTTTACTGGAGATTTACTGCCCTTCCCCTTTTCAGTATTTCAGTGTTATATCACACATTAACAAGTGAATCCCTTTCCTCTGCGAACAGCAAGCCCTGACATTTCAGATGCCTGCTTGGCATCCAAAGAGCACTTAAAATCTCTGGTGATCTACTATTAAAAAACCCCGAACCAACAAACCAACCTATTTAGAAGTGCAGCTTTCAAAGGCAGGTTCATGCCTTCTTTTCTCTTACGAGACGGCACTGCCGGTCTACCATATACTCCTCTACTGCAAAGGACAGTCCCGTAGGAAAAGGAAGATCACAACGTAAGTGTCCTCTAGTTTAGAGCATTCAAGTCCATGTCTCCCACCTCTGAGGGAGAACTAGTTTCGATGGGACTCAACTGCCTACCTCTAATTTTTAAGTTAGGTCACTTTACAGCCCAATGCACTGTAGGTGGTTCCTGAAACACACCAAGCTATACACCATTCTGAAGCTAAACGACCCATTTAGCATTTCTTTGGAAGGAGTTCTGGATTCTGGTCCTTACTCCCATTTTGTCCAAATACTCAAACGCAAGATGATTAATAGTTTTAATTCCCCTCACGCAGTCACAGTGTCAAGGATGTTTTTCCTGTTACGTAATTAGCCAAAAGGCAGAGCTACAGCTGCAAGTCACAAGGACAGCAATCCCACCAGCAAAATGTAGCTGTCACATCTTAACGTGAAGCCTAGTTCACTACCCACATTCAGAGTCACGCATCCTCTGGAAATGGCCATGTTTGGCAATTTCAGCTCACTAGGCAACCGCTATCTGAGAGACAGATGTAAAGCTGTATTAGTCTGCCTATTTGAAAGGAGAGAAGTGCATGCCACCTCCCCACAGCAGACTTTTGTTAAATGTACTACTTTCGTTTTCCCATGTCTTTGATCTGTAGAGGAGACTGGACCTTGAACTACTTTACTCAACCCTTCTTCCTCTAAGACCTTCTTTTTTTTTTTTTTTTTTTTTTAAAAAAAAACAACCATCTATTAATACCAGTGACTACCTCTGCAGCTCTTGACATCAAAACTAGTGACACTTAAAACTGACATAATTTAGATGCCAGTTTTCTTTGCTACACATATACTTCTAATTAGGAAAATGAAGTTGATTACTCTTCTTAAGAAAAGTTACTTCTGCTTTAGCTAGTAACAATCATCTGTAGCAACCAGGAACGTACATTGGTAAATACTCCGAAGACTCTCTCAAACAGAAAGGACAAGACATTTTGTATTTTAGGTGTTGAGCTTGATTGATTTTCTGAAGTGCTGAGCACTGACACTTATGGCTGAAATTAAGGTCAGCTGCAAATATAGAGCTAATCTCAAACCAATGAATACTAGAGTTTCCTATGAATGACAGAGGAATTATCAAGTATTTGGTTTCATTAGAAGGGAGAGGAAAAGGTTTTCAAGCCCTTTGCCCATACATAACAAAACCAGGAGTTCCAGAATGGAAAGAGCATATGGTCTAACATATGTCCAAGGAACAAACTGCTGCTTTGTGGAATGCATGGTGTTTGTTCAGGGGCATTCAGTTTAACTCTTGGAACTTGTGGAGTTACAGGAATACTAAAAGAATGTAGAAGCTGGCATAAAAGACAATCAAATGCAACGTTACCATACCCTGAGAAGTTCCTTCACAGATCATCACCCTCAAGTTTTTAATTTCTGTTTAACTTACGCGTTTATCAATATCGCCATGCTGAAGTTGAACAAACCGAGCACTGATGGCAGCAATATAACTCTGCTGATTGGAAAAAGCAACACGTCCAGCACCTTTTGGGTATTTCAGCTCAGGGTCAGTATCAATTCCTGCGTAACAAACTCCACCATAGAGACGGTCCATGATCATAGCCAATTCCACTATTAAGAAACAAAATAACGTTTATTTAAACTGTTCTTACAATACAAACTTTATATAATATGCTTGTATTAAAAAATACCAAAAAAGTGTTAATTTTAATAATTAATTTTTGCAACAGCTGACGTAACAGTAATAGCAAGAAATATAAAAACGTATTAAATCAGCTACGAAATACTCAGCAGACAGATCTTTCACACCATGGGTACATACATCCAAGGAACAATGGAATCGTAAGTCCTTGCAGTCCTTGATAACCTGGAACTGAAATTCCAGGGCAGTTTTCTTCAGGGGATTACAGCGAAAGACTTTTTGGGCAGGCACGGAATGTAAGCTGTATAAAATAGATCCACATGCCACAAATTCCTTGGTACGTTTTCTCTGGCTGTCCTAATGCTCTATGTCCTACTTGAATTTAAAGATGTAGTTAGCATCTTTCATCAGCCACACAGAGCTTGATTATCTCTACAGTGCTACGCTTACAACAGATACTGAAGTTCATAGAAACAGAAATCTCAAATTTTACAGATCAAGTATTTTAGCAAGCCTCTAGTAATATTTTATACTTAATTCAGTTTTGCAATTCATTTAGGTGCAAAATACTAACGTATTAGGGTATAAAGGTGTCAGCTGTTACTGCTGTTCAATAGTTGTTTGAAAAGTCTCCTAAAGTTTTACTGCTTTGTGAAGGTATATTCTTATTTCACAATGCCATAAAAGTTTCATTTTCACATATACAGGGCATTTGAAAGCCAAGCATAAGAATGCATCCGTTAAATTTATCACAGACATTTAGCAGAGTAACCTGGAGTATGTGGACTGAATTTAAAGAAAAAAAATAATCTGCAGTTGGAACATACTGTGTTTATGCTCATTTAAAGAGCTTGTGCTACCGTCAAAAGTACAGTCCTAAAAGTAAAATAACAGAAAAGTTCGAGCATTGCAGGTCCAAGATAGAAAAATTCAAGATTCTTTGTACCCCAAATTTGCACTATCACTTCTTGGTTCTCCTACATCTTCCATCTGAAAGCTCATCTTTCTGTAAGAATAAAATTAATTACAAACTACAGAAGACTAATGAAGTCCAGGAATCATTCTAATAGAAAGCGAGATTGGAACCACTGTACCTCGTGTTTCTACTTCCAACTTTCACCTCTAATTCCAACTTTCTCTTTCTACTTACTAGAAAGCCACCATAAAATATTGTAAAAGGCTACTACAATCAATCTCACAAAGCAGACTGTCCAGGTTGTAGATCAACCATTCCACAGCTATAGAAGCATTTAATTTTTCCTTCATGCAGTCCAACAGGAGACTTTCTCCTGCAATCTCATATAGTGTTGTACCATGTAGACTGTGCTAGCTCTCTGAATTTCTTCCTTTTTTCTTCTATTCCTACTCCTTCAAGTACTCTATCATTTGTGTTTTCATTTTGTCCATATTAGCAAGAGTAGCTGCAATCTGATAATAGCGGAATAGTAGCTAATGCACAATGACAAGCAAGTACAAATACAACTCCATATATTCATGGAGCATGGCAGAGAGGTTTTCATAGCATTGTTTTAAAATCAAAACTCTTTCATGAGATAGTTTACGTTACAGTCTTGCTAATATGATCAAATTCTTTTCTACAGCTTTAAACATGTAACAGTTTCCAGTAAACCTCAATGATGAACAGTGATTTATGGCCAAAGCCATAATTACTACAGAAACGAAGCAATACACAAATATGGTACTGTGGTTATAACTATCATGACAGTCTTCTATTTTTATATGTATATGTCTATATCTATCCATACATAACAATACAAAAGTATGTATGGTTCAAACTATTTCCAATAATCTCCGACTTCTAAAAACAGACAGAGATTATACTCACCAGCTCTTAATGGTCTAGGGACTCCTCCAACAAAAATTGTTTTTCGAGGATCAAGCGGCTGGGAACCATCCATCACAAAGTCACTATCACTTAGATTCCAGGGACGGATCTGAACCTATTAAATTGGGAAAGAAAACAGTATGCTACTTTAAGTTTCACTACATTGTGGATATATGTTCATCACCTTTATAAACTGTCAAACAGTCACAACCCCATTAGTTTAGCAAGTAGGTGCTCTGTTTTAATCCTAATAATACAAAAGACTATAATTTTAAAATCATGCAACTCTTCCAGATGCTGAGCTCTGCCAACGGTAGTTTGCTCTTGATTATTTTCATCGTCATCATTTCAAATGCAGCTTTAGACAGATGGCAGCTACAGCCCGCAGGCCATCTACTGTTTACTTACTGGCTTGTCCTTGATAGTAGGACTGGAAACACATAGATAGAGCTTTCCATCTTCTTCAATGCAGGCGTCAATCAGGGCCTGAACGGAACTCTCTTCTTGGAACAGGAGGAATGCGTAACCTGGAAAAAAACCCAAACCAACTGATATTTTTTCCTCTTATCTTTCTTAATCATCTTTGCCAGTGACTTTTCCATATAAATGTTTTTACTCCAAAAGTAAAAGAATGTCAAACCAATTCTCTGTTATTAGTCATCTTCTTTAACTATATACTACCTTGCCATGATCAACAGAACTCCAGGCAAATACTTCTATCCTTATAATAATTGTCAAAAAAGGACTAACAACCAAATAAAAGCAAACATGGCTGCTCTAGTATCATGTACGAGAAGTCTAGGCTGAGCATAATTCATTGGCAGCAATGGACATTATACAATGAAAATCCGACTTGGCACAAATGACTAATCTCTATTCTAGAGATTAGATCAAAGTACTTTGTTACGTAAGTGACCCAGCAAACCTCCCAAACACTACAAAAATAGGAATTAAAATGCTTATTTAATGCTACAGTAAAAGCAGTCAGACAAGCAAAGAACCTCACACATTAGAATACTTTAACAGTTACGGTACAATGATATATACAAATTTTGTTACTTTACAGGTGCGCAAAAGTGCAACTAGGGGTGTATTCTAAAACAAATTTTAAAAGGAATATAAATCCACATTTCTTTTTGAGATTACTACCAAGTGTGGAATTTTCACATGAAGTTATGTTTTATTACTTGGATGGAAAAGTAAATGCTGAAGCAGCTGCTCTAGAGTGGGCTTGGCAAGAGGGAGTGTGGCTGCTTTACCAAGCCTTTTGGAAATGATACTGTTTTTCTGAGAGAAGCTAGTTAACCACTGGCAATTTCTTACTGCAGACACGCAGTGTAGGTCATCAAGAGAAAGATGGTAGGGTGCATCTTAAAGAGCACTAAAGAATCAATGTGTTAAGAAGAAAATAAGATTAGAGAAACAAATGCATGACTGATTTTAGATATATGGGGAAAAAAGTAGGATTTAAAGAAAAAGCTGTAAGGCTTATACTGGTCTTTCTAATAACTTGTTATTCATTTCCTACCCCTCATACCACGGTCCTATCACAGCTGCCTACAAGGGACACATGACAAGGTTTTATGCATTCTATATTTTTTTATGTAAATATTATTTAGTTTCTTAACAAATATGCCATAGGGAATAATTGGGCTTTGGCTGAAGCATTTCCTTGTGAAGTCTATTTTTCATTGCTGAACAATATTTTTTAGTGACAACCTCTTTAACTTAAGCTTTATTAATAATTACTTAGATTCAAAGTCTGTTCTAACGGGGATATCTTTCAGTATTTATCTTGGAATTTAAAAACCATATATTACCCATGCAAAACTCACTCACTGAATTGTGGCATGTGCAGACTGGCACGGGTGAGACCAGACCCATGTAACTGTCCTTACTTGTGTGGCAGCCAGGCACACGCATTCCAGTTTGAATGGAGAGCTCAGTACAAGAATGATGGGAGTGCAAAAACCTGACTAATCAAAAGGAGGGCTAAATGCACATGATAGCGACCAAGGGATCAGCCATACAGAGTAAGACTCACAGTCAGAAGGGCATAAAATAATTTGCCAGATTCTGACTTTTCATCAGTTTTTATCCTAAAGTAAATCAAGGGTACTGCCATATAACTCCTGATGCATAAATACAGTCAGTGTCTCTAAATGATCTACCACCTGTAAGCCTGCAGCTATTAATATGTCTAACTGTGAAAGCTTGTAAAAAGACAGAAAATTCAAATACAAGAACTTGATGAGGGAGTAATTAGGAATACTATATCCTATCACACCTGAAATAAAAGTAAGGAAAGCAATGCCAAAACTGTATGTTAATACTGCTTTCTCAGCATTATCTGCAAAACATGTACCATGTCTGGGTTCATCCAATTTTACAGCATCAGATAGGCTTGTGTCATGAGCTTAGCTGTACTAGTTCTCTTCTGAAGACACAGAGAAAGTTAGGGTATAGTCTTTACTAACAAATTGGTCTGGCTATAGTTTTGCTCCACAGCTCTAGTCCTTCGGTGGTTTACAAGGCATTTTAGTTCGCTCCCCAAGTCTAGTCTGGAGGAAAATAACCAGTTCTCCTGGAGAAGAAGCCTGGCTAGAGATGATAATTTGCTCAGGTCTCACATTTTATAGTCATATACAGACACAGCCAATCCCTTCCAAACAACGCTAGGCTTGCACAGTCTGCATCACTTACCCTGGCTCACGGCACATGTCCTGGCACAAATCAATTACACGTTGGCCATAGACTTCTCCAAAGAACACCAGTTACAGAGGCAGACAGTCTATATTCATTAGCTAGAATGTGCTTGCAAAGAGAAGTTACACTCTTATATTAGGTATTTCATTCAGACATCATAAATTAGGGCTCTTGTTACTACGATTATCACACACCAACAACTGTATGGCACAAACTTTATTCTTAACCCTTTCTGCATTCTCAAGATATGCTTTTATTGGATTATTTTTCATCTCAACATCTGTAACTCATGAACTATTGTGGATGCTTAATGTCTGCGAAGCTAGTGTGGTGGTGGTAAGTCACTTGCATAAGTATAATGAAAAAGATCAAGTGCCTAACTAGTCTTTTTGGAGTCGTACTGAACTACAGTTACCATGTGCGATAGAAAGTACACATCACAGTGAAACATGGTAGAGAGGTAGGGTGAAGAGTAGGAGGTGTTTTACTGTACTACAAAACATCTTAAATCACTAGTTTCTTGGGGTTTTTTTTGGTGTACCACATCAGTCATTTAACAGCTTCACACCCAACAGCAATGCAAGTCTGTTTACAATGGAAAAGCAAAGCTACTCTAATAGTTTTCTTTGAAGGAAGCTGCCTCATACCTTTGGGTCATACGTACACCAACAACAGCAGGTCATGATCAGTTATTACTTGCCAAGAGACAAAGCTTGTATGTTTTGTACATTTTTCACAAGGTGGAAAGTATTAGATGAAACAATCTTATAAAAAATTCTTGTCCATGTGCACCCCCACCAGAATTTATGCCTCCTGTGGGAGACAAAGTTTAGGTAACCCCTGTTAGTGCTTATCACTTGACTAAATTCCTCTGCATAACACTGGAACTATTATTAATACTCCTATTTTCAAAGGGAACTAGTGTGGGTGACTTTGATAATACCTGTCCTCAGAAAATCACCTCAAATAATAAACAAATCTTTCTGGAGATGAACTTAGAACTACATTCCCTGATATACAGATACTGTACTGGTTATAATCATCCTTACTCCAAATTAACATCTTTCTTGAACAAAAAAAGACCAAGAAATTAAACATTTTCTTCTTTTTAATATATTGGGTCAGCACTGGAAACAGAAAGCCCATCAGATAATTCTGAAGAGTCCTAGCTGTATTACCAAAATTAAACTTTTGTAATAATTAAAAAACCCAAGAAAAACTAACAACCCCTCTCCCCCAAACTATACACAGAATCAGTCTTTTTGTTTTTTTCTATTTATTACATAGAGAACAAATCAAAAGCAAAGTATTCTAGACTAGATTCACACTGGTAGCTAACATGATGATCTGAATCTGTTATTTCTTTATTTCATAAGTAATATAGAAGTTTCTCGAAAGAAGAAAGGATGCTTTTCTGCCATGCATATTCTGCATAGAAATCAGAGAGTAGCTTTAAGTTTTATCAAAATCCAGTTAACTACTGTCACTACTGGCTTATAGAAGGAGTCAAGAAAATCAGTGCAAGGCAGCACAACACTGTCCATACAAGTCAGCACAGCTGTATTTTGGGATTGGTTCATCTACTGCCCTGACAGACTCTCCCTAGAGGAGACTAAATGGCCCCAGTGCACTGTAATGCTTGTCCACAGAATGCTGTGCCTTAGCTTAAATCAGAATGAATCAGTGTAAACTGCAGGTTAATACAGACAACTGATCTACATTTCAGGATAGGAATAATTCACATTTGGCAAGGACACACAACATTTAATCTATTTCTCTTTAAAGAGATCTCATCACCACATCAATTAACTTTAATCTTTAAAACATAAATCTTTCACTCATTCCGTTTAGTCATCTTTGATGGAGAATTAACTCCAAAACTCACTTGAAGTGAAAAAATGCAAGCTGATACAATTGTAACACAGTTATTAGCTAAGGCACTTTTGAGTAGGGGAGAGCAGCTTTCAGTTCAAGACCCAAACAACTACTTTTATATTTCTGCAGTGACTGTGTTTAAGCTCCTACTGTAGTCCAGAGATCCAGTTAATGCAGTCAGTGGTGTCTGGACGGTTACTTAGCTGACCAAGTGGGACACAGAGGTGTCTAGCACCATTTATCCTCTATAGTACTTCGCCTAACCTTCAGCTGGTGCTCCAGAATGGTGTGGGGCTTCAGTAGGTGCCACGCCACATTTGTCAGACCCGTGTAAATCTTTTAGATATCCTCAGTCTGCGTAAATAAATCAAGCTCAATGTGCTTATGTTACAGTGACCTGAATAGCCCTCTATACTCCACTGACTGTATTGGCCAGGTTCCCATTGATTAAAGGAAGCTTAGACACTAATCACACATGAAGACACCTACAGTTACTTGCCTGAATCCAGAGTTCAATTCTACCCAGTGTGATCAAATAAACTGGTAACAAGTTGAATAGAACTTGGATGGACCTGGGGTTTTGCTTCTTAAACTAGAAACAGAACATTTTCAACCTAATTGTTTCAGTCAGTTCTAAATTAGCAGTTCAGAACCTTGAATAAATGAAACTACTGCACAACTGCTGTGATAGAAGGCAACAGAAACACCCAGACAATTAGAAAAGGCTGGGGATACTGCCCTGTTTAAATCAGATTATCCTCTGTTTGATACGGACTATAAATAGTACAGAGCACATAAACGACTGGGCTTATTTTGAAAGGGCTTCTTCGGATTTGCATATCCTCACGGCACCATTTCTTTGAGAGCTTCATTATAAGAAGGAGTCCTCACCTCAGCAAGTTGCTTTGGACACGTGTGTTGTTTCATAAATAAGTATATTTGCCAACTACGTAATAACACGAGTTATGATAAACAGTGGCAAGTCAGAAAGGAAGGACTTCTCCATTACAGTTGGCAGATCACTTACAGACTTTGTACTTTGATCTCAACAGAATAATTTTTTCTGCTTCAGAACAGAGTTTCCTCGTAAGATTAGTGTGAAGTTTTTAAAATTCCTGTTTTCTTCAACCCTAATTTTGTGGTGAACCAATACAAAATGCAATTAGGTAAGAACAAGCAGTTGGTGTTTCTCAGGAGGCAGCAAGCCTTGATGGATCAGGACACTTTTTGCATTTCTTCAAGCAAGGAAATACTTATTATGAACTTGGCCTTCCCTCAGGACTTTCTGTAAGCAGAGAGCCTGGAAGGAACTACAGCCTGGAAAACTGGACAAGAGTTCAAAACAAAAAAAAAAGCAGGCTGTATCTCTTCACCACAGAGAAGACTATTACGTAAATGAGTCCAGAACTGGATAATTCTGAGATGTCTTTGGAAAGTAATACTATGTCAAATCTCTAATGAGACTGAACAAACAAAAATACGTACACTGAATTGACTCCATGCAGAGTAACAAATTAGAAATTGGAGATTAAAAGTAAAAATTAAACAAACAAAAAACCTCCTTGGGCTAATATAGTATGTATTTCTAAGTTGCTAATTACTGATCAATCTTAAAGCTTTCTTAGAATTTAGCCTATCTTTAACAGTTTCAGAGATTTTATTAAATATATGTATATACAGTTCTTGTCTGCACATGTGAGTAATACTTAAGACAGACATTTTTTTTTAAGAAATTCTTCTACAAAATAATCATGGGCCATTTCTATTGCACTGAAAAAAAACAGATATAAACAGAGTAATATTCAGCAGTTAATAGTAAGCTCTATTTCCAGAGTATCTACATAGAGAAACCTATACTGTATTTTAAATGTGTTAGGCTACATTACAAAACAATATTGAATAATGTGGTTAACTGAGAATAATTTTTTAAGATTGAATAACAGTAAGTGTTATTAAATTCCAAATAAGGATCTGTTAATCATGGGAAATGAACTTAACACTTAGTTTGTAAGTGTCTTCTGAATTAATTAGATCAACAGACTGAAGTTCTTCTATACGCATTTTCTGCTTTTAAGAAGCTCTGCTTAAAACACAGTTTTGGGTTGGATTTTTTTGTTTGTTTTTTTACTGTGGTAATTATAAATATTCCAACAGTATCAAAAAGTTTTATTAAATGAAGAATTCTGGAAATTTATCCTTAAGATGTTCAGACACTGAGACAGGACTATCTCCTTGGAAAGGAATGCCAGAAACCATTCCTTCCAGGTAATAATATACTACATCTTCCCTCTTCTATATATTCATCACAGACTCTGAGATGCATCTTCCTCAAAGAGTTCCTCAAGAATTTCTCTTGGTAATTTATGATGAGATATGCACTCCTTAGGATGACCAAATTTAACTTGTCAGTAGCTTTGTGTTTCAGGCTGACAATCAAAAAGGCTGAAGTCTCTTTGTTTGTCTTAGAATTTCCACGTAGTGTTCATATATACTATTCAAATACTTTCAATTCCTTTTCCTACTGCTTAGAGAACGATCCCAGATAGTAATACTGTCTTTCCCCAGCATAGATGGTCAGATAAATAAATGAAGAATCAGTTTATAAAGGCAATATGCCTACTTTTGTCACTTCCAGGGAAGAAATGAATTGCTGCATTCTCTACAAAATGAATCATCTCTGCAACGCTTTCATATCTGGATCAGATTTTTGCATTTATTTTATATGTACCAATACATGATTGACCTTGCACAGAGATACACTACATAATTGAATTATTTAATGGAGAGAATGGCTTTTCCAACACTTTGTAAGTGATATTAAAAAAATCTAGTCTAACAGCAGCACTAGAAAGTTACAAATCAATATTTAGTCATTTATCAAAAAAGATAATTAGCGCTTCAATAGGAAGGTCACATCCTAAAACTGAAATAAACATAACATTGATTATCTTGATCAGATACCCAAACGCATCCTTCTGAATCCTGCCTGTAACTTCCCACAAAAATTTTTATCTACGGTTTGGTTTTAAAAGTTTGATCAAATTTCAGTTTTGGAAACCAGATAGAAATGCAGATACAGAACTCAGGATTAATGACACACACAATTATATAATGCTGATCTGATACATGGGAAATCAGAATATGAAAGATCCTTCAGGAGTCCAGCACTGAACCAGGCACAGTACTAAAACACTCTCGGCTTTTAGACTTGGCATGTAAAGGAACCATGTCTGAACCTGTGTTGAAATTGTAGAATTAACTGTTTACAGGAATTGTAAATTATACCCTTTGGAAAAAGATGAGACAGTTTCCCAGAGTAAGATTTGCACTCAGTGACAGGTCAAACGTTCCAACACTCTTACCTTTTGGTGGAAAATATGACTTGCTTTCTGCTTTGTGAGGCCAGTCTACTACCAAAGGCCCAAATCGTCTGAAGCTAGCAGTAATTTCATCTAAAAAGAGGTAAAACACTTGCAATTAAAATAAATGACATAACTCAATGAAAAAGTACTATCAAAGATCTTTGTTTCTAGCAAAGACTGACATCTAATGGAAAAAAAGAAACACAATTTCCAACTTTCATGAGCAAAAACCTTAAATAGACCCATCTTCCAAAGTCATAATATTTACGCAAAATATTTCTGGTGATTTTAAGCTTGTATTTGTTTTTTATTGCTTAATAACAGCAGCATTTCCAAAGCATATGCACAACTAAAGGCAGTGGAGAAAATTGGTGTGGTACTTCCTTAAATTCAGAATTTGGTTTGAATGCAATCAAAACAATTTTCTGTTTGGCGATGTACAGTTCAGAGCTTTGTTGGTAGATACTTGTATAATAAGCACCACCACAATTAGTATGCTAGCGGTTTCCGGCAGATATCATGCACAGATCAGGCAAATAAACTTAAAATTGCCTATTTAGAGGTGCTTTGCAAGATCTGCTATGCCCTCTGTGCAACTTCGTGATGCCTTTCTATTCCAGCCACTCCTTCCTGTTATTGACTGTAAGAACCTTGGCCATGAGGAAGAAATTAAACCACCCTAAACTCTACAAGAGCAGTAACTCAAACTTAAATATGTTCCATTTCTTTCAGTCGCACCTTGCCATCAGCATATAAACAGGCAGGAAAGAAAAAAAAATTTCTTCCACGTGTCTTTGTTTAACATTTGTATTAAAAAGCAAGAGTACACGTTTGAATTAGAAGCTAAAGTGCATCAAAAAACCTAAAGTACATTAAAAGAAATTACACTGCAGGAGAGTGTCACAATGAAGATGAAACCAAAATACAGTTTCTCCATGTCTGAAAGTTAATTAACCATAGTCAGCTTGTTTGGTTTGCAAGTTACTCTAGGATTACAATGAACCTTGTAAAGGGACTTCGGCTTACGTTACAAAGCTAGCATGTATTTTACATTTATCTGCACAGGAGAAACCTAATATTAAACAGCACGATTACTTCAAATCAGCACTATTGTAGAGAGCAATTCTAACTGCATCGCATAACAATCTGAGCTTCTGTGGTACATTCTACGTTCAATGCATCACAGAGTGCTTTGCCACTTGACCTTCCTCTGCCTTAGTTTCTCTATTTATGAACAGGAATAATAACCTTTCTAAAGCACTTCTGAGATCTTCAGGTAATAGTAAAATAAAATTTGAAATTCAATTACTAATAGAAGTTTTCTATGAATAGAGAATAAAGCAGGCACAGATAGAGGACAGTATCAAGGGCTAAGACGTATTTGAAAGGAATATGCAAGGTAAGCAGGAGCACAAATACTAGGCATCACATGCAACTCTACAAATCTCCAAGTGCAGAATCAGAGACAACCATCTCAAAACCAAAAGAGATGGATGACATCAAACAATATTAAGCTCAACATATCCATCAACTCTCACAACAAATATATATATAGTTGTGGCTTGTTACATGACAACATGATTTTGCTGGGTGGATTATTTCTACTACTTCATTTAGGTTTTCCAAAGTGTCTCTTTCTGTCTCCCTCCACACTTAGTTGCTTATCAGGCAGCTCACCTTCATCAATATCTGGTGGAAGACCTCCAACAAACACTTTCCGAGAAAAACGCTCAATTCGTTCTCCATTCTGATGAGCTGAATAGCAGGTAGGTGAATTCAAGACTCCAACTTGATCACTATGACCATCGTCCAGCAAACCGTCATCTATTGGGAAGAGGGAAGAACGGCCTTAAAAAGAAAAGATAAAAATATACATTAAAATAATTTTGTGGCAGTACATAGTTAATGTAATTTCAGAGAATGGAGGAATAGCAGTCTGGAAAGTAAAAATGAAAATACCAAGATATTAGAAAAGTACACATTAGTTTAAAGAAAAATTAAGAAAATGAAAAATGTATTAAACTTCAAAAAGGAAATTCAAGATCGCAAGCTGACATCACTGTAAGCATAGTACTTCATATTACATTATATTGTAGTTACTCTGCTGCATCCAGTAGGCAACTAGTAATTTGTCTTTTAAATGCAGGGTCTTATTTATGAAGAGATCGTATTAAGGGCTGCTTAAGTGAGTTTCATTAGTCTGCCTTTGGTTTAGCTTGAAGCTTTAACTTCCATAACCTGAATGACTACTGCATGTCTAAAAATCTTACACTTTAATTGAACAGAGGGAAACAGAAAAAACACGTACACAACAAAGTTTCAAATACATATGTTTTCTCTTTTAATGGCATCTGATGCTAATAATGTAAGAACAGATTTAATTTCTAAGCAAAAGAGAATTTTACAAGTGTTACATTTTAAGTATTTATTAAAGTGAGTCACATTGCTGACTTATCCTTCTTGCTCTCAAATTTGCCACGGTTTTGGAGGGAAGCCTTGTAGTGGTTCCTAATATGCAGCAATCTGCAGTAAGATTATAGTTACCCTGAAAAGCAAGTGCAAAATCTGAGAAGCTCACAGGATGGCTTTGCAAATGCAAACTGATCAAAACAGGTATATAAATGGCAGGGTGGAGTGAAAACATGGTAATTCTGTCCCACTTATTTCCCCCTATTTCATATTTACAAATTTTAGAGAACTCCAAAACAAAAAGACTTGGAAGGCCAGGATAGGCATCATAGCTTATTCGAACTTTCACTACTTTAGATTAGCAACAGAAAGATTAATGACAGTTGCAAATTCAGAAGTCAGGTTTTTAACTGCAAAAAGCCCAAAAATAAATATCTTGTGAAGCAAAAGAAATCTCCCACATCACTGTTTCTTCTGAAGTGCAATTTTTCCTGTTTCTCTCTCACTCATTTTTAAAGTAATTATAAATTAATTCAGCTGCTTTCAAAAAACAAGCAAGAAAACAAAACCAAAAAACAACCTAGCACACTTTTGGGAAGCAAGTTAATTTTCCATCTCAAATGGGCAACTTCTTCCAGATTCACCTACTGCAAATTCACACACAGGAGCAGTAGGTTCCCGACAGCTGAGTCTGCGGTACCTTTGCTGGGAGCCATACCACAGTCCCTAACTTTTAACCCCTCTCAGGGGAATACTACCAGGAAAGCCCTTTAGGAACACCTGCAGACATTGTGCTCATCAGCTAGGAGTGAGAGCAGCACGAAAGCCATTCACTCCCAGAAGACCACCTGATCATCAAGTGCTTAAAGACAAGGCTGGAGAATAGACAGCAAACATCATCACCAATGACCTACGTTGTGGTAACACCTAATGACCCTGATTGGGTATCTAAATCTATCATAATAAAAACATAGTTCATTAAAAATACCAAATGATAACATAAAGACGATAGAAAACAACTAAACATAATAAAATGCCACGAGGATCACAAAATAAAAGCAGGACCACGGGACTATGAAGTAACAAAGACTGTAACTATGTCTTTATGGTGGCATTTCACATTTATCTCTTAAGTAGGCATCTGATGGAGGGGAGCACAATAAATGCCAAAAGCTGTAGCAGGCTCCTCCTTTCCATTCGGAACGGTGATATGCGTGTTTGAGAACATGACTAGTGGGGAGCAAGTGATGGCATCCTTGCTTGTATCGTAAGGATGCATTCAACAGCTACATAACAGATCAGTAAAGTGTCTTTACGTGGAAGCATATAGCTGGTGCTCAGTGGGGCGGAAAAGCGAGGAAGCACAGGAGAAACAGAAAGTTAACACCAGTTGGAACAAGCAGCCAGGCAGATTCTTCCTGTAAATCATCTACTTAAACTTAAGAAAAGCAAGATCATGCTACAAAGACAGCAGCAGATGAGTAATGTCAGTTATGAAGACTAGTAAAAATGATTGGATCTTAAACATGTATACAAAGAAGTGCTAAGATTTGGTTACACAATCAAGAAAGGGGGATATAACAACAGATTTCTGAATTACTGATGTGAATGATGGAGAACATGGAACTTTCATCATAGTGACAGTGAAAGGACAAAGTGGCTAACAGAAGAAATAAGACTCAAATTGGAGGAACTCGCAGGAAACTGCAAAAGTGGAATTTTCACTAATATAGGAGATACTCAACATCTTAAACCTAAATCGAAAAATGACTGAAATTTAACTGGGTTATCTTTATAAAAAGCACATTTTCTCTTTACCTCTTCAAGTCTCTATATTGCAGAAAAAAAGAAACTTAAGTGACTTAAACGTGACAATTTTAATAAATTTGTTGGCATTATAATATTGCCACAAAAGCATTGAAGGGGGGCAGGGAGCTAAAGTTTTTGTTCTGTTTTTTAAAAATACAACATACAATTTATACTTAAAGAAGGTGTCTCTTCAGACCATGAAAATTATGGTTTTGTGTTTCTCTGAAAGTACTTCTTGGACAATTCCAACTTAAAATATACACAAGTATGTAGGGGGAAATATAATCAAACAATAATCCTCAGAATAATTTATTTCATACCCACAGACCAATATTAAAATCTAAGAACAATTAGAGAGCCTTAGAGAATCTAAGGCTCTCTTCCCAGTATGAATTAAACCATCAGAACACATTCGGAAGTGATACCGGAGAGATCAGTTTTACTTTAACATGGATAAAGGTTTGGTCAAAGGCACTGTGGCTCCTTCAGAGCGCTAAGATAACATAGAAGACAACGGATTAGCACATTTAGACTAACATGCTCTATATGACTACTAATACTTTCTTCTCCCTCCTCTTCACTTTTAAATGTTTCGGATGAAGACAGCAAAAAGGTAGTTCGCTAGGCTTTCGCACGCCTCCTGATGACTGTGAATCAAAAGGATAAGCGCTTTTAAACACTTGCTTCTTTTTGTTTTATGACAGTGAAAAGAATTAAGAATCTGCCAGGAATCATCAAAACAGGTGGGCGCTGTTACGTACATTGACCATGACCTAGATCATCATTCCTCTCTATGTTAGGGCTACTAAGCAACCAGTTATGAACCAGTGCGGAGATCAAGAGAGAGGCACATGAACTTACGTGTATGTTGTGAACACTGGAAGCTATCAAAGATCTTGATGTTTTTGCTGTGCACTTTACATGGTCTTTATAACAACTGCAGGTTAGATCCTCATACAGTTAAATCAGCATAGCTTTTCCAAGGTCAGCGAGCATACATGGGCTTATACTACGAAAATCTGCTTACTATTTCTAAGAGTTGTCATAAACTTACTAAGTTTTTGAAAGGCTTTTAGTTTTCCCTCTGTAGAGTATCACTTCTACAGAAGCAAAAGAAGAGTTAGAAGAACAACTAGCAGACCGTATGCTTTTAAAGGGGGCAACAACTGCAAGCAGTAGCCATTAGCATGAACTAAATTATGATTAGAACTACAGTGTTTTAACTGGTTAAAGGATTTGTAATTCAAACTCTAAAAAGAAAGAGATCAATGATTGCAACAATCCAGACTGCACCCCTCCTTCCCTCATACCCTCCATCTTCCCCAGACTAAGACAACATGCAGATAAGCGTTTATAAGGAACAATTTGGATTAATTAATCGTAATGATCAATAACAGCTCAATCAGAATTAATTGTACTGTAACAAACAGAAGTGAATTACCTCGTCTTCGCCCATAACTCCTTGCTGCATGCAAACAAAGGACAAATTGTAAAATGTCAAATAACTGTATCATGCCCACATATTAAAATATTTAAGATACAAAGAACTATGTGGGTGAGCGATAAGTAAAAATCTTCATTGGTACTTGCTACTGGTAATTGTAGATGAGGATGCATTAATCTAAAGTCTCACTTAAATACCATACTATTTTACTACTAAATTGACATTAGCACCTGCTGTAAAGAACATACTTTAAAATATTTCACCGTATCTTTATACTTTATCTTAACTTCATGTTAATTATGGATGCATAAATTATAGTAACTTTGTAATTCATCCTCACAAATGTGATTTGTATCTTACACAAGTATCTAAATAACGCACCAGGTACTGAAATTGTAAAAGGAAAATAGTACTTTAAAAAGCATGTAGCAAGCATTAAATTAATCACAGAAACATCCTGATCCATGGAACAGTTTGTACAGTCCTCTGCAGTGACAATGCAAATGCTATAAGCCGTGACCTTCCTTTTTCATGAAAAGACCTAGCAGAAAATTAACCCCAAGGTTTTGTTTGAAACAAAAGACTCCTTGTGGTAGCAAACAAAATCAGGGCACAAGTCACAAGAAATAGCATTGTATCAAAAACACTGCACAAAGGCAAAGCAACAATTTCTGACAGACTGCAAGTAAATCCAAGATTTTCCTAACTTCTGAGTTTTGCAAGATTCTTAAAGAGATCATGCTTATAGCTACAGTTCAGAGGATCACAGTGATTGCTTCTCTGCCCGAAGGCTAGGAAACTAAAAATAGACAGATTACTAACACAAAAACTATTAAGCTGCATGTAATTTCTTAGTTACTTTTCCACAAAGTATTTTCGATTCCTGTTTCACAGACTTTGTATCTGAGAAAGATTACTTTAATCATCGCAGCTCTGTAGTTAAATATCCAAACAGAAAACATCACTATAAACCATAATGTTATAGCAACATTTAAAGATTACTGTGTCTCAGCATTATTGTTTTGATTTTACTAGGACTCCATACATACATCTCTCCCAAAAAGCAACTGTGGTTCTGGGATACTGAAATACATGCAGCCTCATAAACTCAGTTATTCATAGTTGTCATTCACTGTTCGGTTCTAACATAATTAAATACTTATATCCTGGTATCCTATTTGCACAGGGGGTTTCAAAATTTTTAGTAAGCGTTGTAGTGTTTCTGGGTTTTTTTTTTGTTTTTTTTTTTTTTTTTTGCTTTGTTATCTTGGTTCTTTCTCATTAGGAATTCACTGGATTGCTTACGGAATTCTCAAAATCCCTCTCCTTGGCTTTTCTCCCTTAAAATTGTTGATTTGTTACACAACAGTCATCATATTCCTATCCAACTTGCATTGAACTCACTTTCAAATGTATTTGCTTTCATCTGAAAGAACTACTATTGATTAGAACAGTCTTTTGCTTAAAGTTTTTCAGATCCTCCAACGTTCTACTAGTAAGCCAAAACAGACAATCTCACTTTCCAAAAGAGACTTGAGTATCTAACCAAGTGGAAACACCTCAATTCAGATTTCCCATATCAAAATAGAATCCACAAAACATAATGCATTCTTCTGTGTGGTTAGTTCTCTCATTAGCTGCTGCTGCACAGGGAGACTAATGCCGAACTTCAGACTTGTTTTCCTCTGAACTCAGGCACTTGCAAGACACGCAGCTCTACGTCAGCGTTGCAGCATATACGAATCTTTTCTGACTCTTGGCCAAAGTGACTCCCACATAGCATTAGCAGTAGCGTCACTAAGCCCTTATCTAACCCCCATATACCTCTTTTTTCCCTTCCACAAATAAAACTAGAGTAACCAGGGAAAATTCAAGTGCATCACATCCGTAGCAATGACTGCAGTGCCATGCTCTCTCTCAATGAAAAATATACAAGTGCATAATAAGCACCTTTTGGAACACGCTTTAGCAATTCATTTTTCTCCTCTTCCGCCACTTCTGCTTCTTTCTGCCCACCAAAACAGCTCAGCTACTTTATTTTCATAGTTTAGACAAGCTGACATGCATAAAAATATTTTCTTACACAACACCTTAACTGTTTTTCTTTATGTATTTAAAAATAAACAACAGTATTTTAAGGAGAAACACAAAAGGGTTATTAAAATGCTACAAAAATCCCAATGCAATTCAACTTAAAAGGGTAGCTGCTGCAGTATTTTTTTTAATATATATACACATGTATGGAAATTACAATGATATACCAAAGTTATATGGGTATTTTTTCCTTCAGCAAAATAATGAAATCGGAGAAAATGGGAAAACAACTGTACTTGATGTTGTCACTTTATTTACTTTACTTGTATGGCAAATCCCCTTCCCTGATATTTATCTGTCTTGTCTATTTAGATTGCAAACTAGTTTGGGCAGGGATTTTCTGTCACTTTGTGTCTAGAAAAATGCGATCCAATTCTTAAGAGAGTTTGTAGGCACTGCTGCAATAAATGTGTTCATTAACATCAAAATGTATGTTTTTGCAAAACTCTTTTTTTTTCCCTATTTTTATCCAGATTTTAAGACCACAGTGTTTATATCATAGGTAAGTTGTTTAAATAACAGTAAATACAAAGTCTTGCTGTTACTAAAAATATGATGCTAAAGCAAACATATCCTATCTTCATGAAACTTCAGTATTTTAATCTCTCCCCATTACATATATATATACACACACATAAAACCCTTTCTTTCAAAGGCCAGATAATACTTGTGAAAACAGTTCCTCTGAATCAAACTTTTAGTACATTGTAATCAATGAGATTATTCTTCCTGAAGATACTAGATTCAATCAGAAATATTTCTGTATTTATTGAAATAACACGCACGTTTCAGAGCACATATGCTTACAGTGAATGTGGTCTGTACAAATATACACATATATATTTAATTATAGATTTAGCTATACATACAGTTTATATATATATATATTTCTATATAGCTTCTATATAGCTTTCTGATATATATAAAAAAATATATATAAATAAATATATATATATATCAGAAAGCTCCAGGGAGACCTTATTGCAGCCTTTCAGTACTTAAAGGGGGCTTGTAAGAAAAATGAGGACAAACTTTTTAGCAGGGCCTGCAGCAATAGGACAAGGGGTAATGGCTTTAAACTAGAAGAGGAAGATTTTTTTTTTTTACAATGCGGGTGGTAAACCAGTGGCACAGGCTGCGCAGAGAGGCGGTAGATGCCCCATCCGTCGAAACATCCAAGGTCAGGTTGGACGGGGCTCTGAGCAACCTGATCTAGTTGAAGATGTTCCTGCTCCTTGCAGTGGGGTTGGACTAGATGACCTTTAAAGGTCTCTTCCAACCCAAACTATTCTGTGATTCTATGTATTTAATATATACATCTACACAATTAGTGCACATGTTTAGATAAATAACTGCAGGGGAGACAGTCCTCTGGGAGAGGCCAGACACCATAGGCAAATAATTGATTTACAAGGACAGAAAAAGTAGACATTCAACTTCTTCCTTCCTTCCTGGACTCATTCAAAGAGTAAGTCATACAGAAATATTTTTTATCTTTTAGTCTGTAAAGCTGGCTATCTTAATTAGCCAAAACCTCTGAAAGATTTCAAATGAGTGAGAAAGTACATGAGATGCAATTTTATTCTAGAAAATATAAATGGGGCAACACATGCAAGAAGTGTAATGATGCCCAATAAAAACGAAGTCTAATAACACATTGGAACATTCCAACATTAAGAGTGCTGTATATACAATAGACATTCCCTTATACTTAAACCCTTCTGTTTCTATACCCCTGAAGTTGCACCCTAATAAGGCTTAAACCTGTCAAAAAAATTAATACCTCCTTTCTGCAGCTTAAATCAGCTCAGAGACAGAAATATGAGACAGAAGTAAATACACTTTTTGTGCACGTTTATCTAATATCAAGACAATATAAATATAACTTTGAACATTATGTGAGCAATGCTATCACACAGATAGTAAATGTATCATTGCTATTGTATTCAGACACATATTTCAAATATATACCAGAGATCAAATACGTACATATTTAAGTAACTCAACTGAATGACTGAGCTGAATTCAAAATATTATGTTGTATAACAGGAAAAACTACTAGACAAGCTTCCTATATTTGAAATACAAGGAAACTGCAAAATTTATGATAGAAAGTAAAATGCTATTTGTCGCTAACACTCCTGATTTAATGATCAAATGCTGACAGAGAAGTAATGAAGCCTTTTCATTAATACTTGTCATTCAAAGAAATCCATAAACAATTTTGACAAAAATTTCCCAAGACTCTAGACTAAAGGAGGTAGGTGCCTAATTCCCATTTTATTCTATTGGATTTGAGTGCCTAAATTCTATTAAGATATCTTTAGAAACCACATCTTTATAGATTTTAAGGCTGAAAGAGATTGTTATGACCATTCACGTTTGGCATGCCTAATAGACTACAGAAACTCATTTAGCAATTCCTGTATAGCAAGTTTAATAACTTCTGTTCGAAGTAAACCACCCTTTTTTAGAAGCACAACCAGCTATAGTATCTTTAAGATGGAAAGTCTAATATTCCCTTGCTAACCTAATTGAACGGTGAACTGTTTTTCAATAGCCATTAAAAAAATTCAGTGCATTAAAACTACAGAAGGGGATGAACCCTACAATGGGGAGAAAAACACGCTACACTCCAACAAATTGGACTCTTTCATTATTACCTGGTACAGATAGGTTCTAAGTCAACAGTTAAAGATGTACTCAGGTAAATCCATTCTCAAGTATCTTTTTTTGACTTTTGAGAGATAACAGTCATTAAAAATGCATTGCTTTTTTACAGCTTGAGCTGAAACAGATATATAATTATCATATATATAATTCATTAAAACATATAAATCAGCTTTCCTTTGGTTCACTTCATTAGTTTAAATAATGAAAACTGTAAATATTAATATTAGGTACAGTTCAGTAAGTACATTTTAAATGAGCTGGAAAAGATCTATCACTTAAGAAGAGGAAAAACTAGCTAAAAATAAGTTTTATCTAGAAGTGCTTAGTCTTAACAGGGTTTAGGAATTCCAGCCTGGCTCATGTCAGAACCTTACTGGGATCCAGAGACACTAATCCACTAAAATCAAGCCACTAAAATCCAGTAAAGGTCATGATCCAGCGTTAAGTATTACTGCATACATGGCTGGGCCCAGGATCCTTAAAAATGTTGGTGCCCTTCTTACATGAAGGTCTGGTATTCCTGCTCCTCCTTGTAGCGACTAAAACACTTACTGAGAAAGCAAGGGACAAATCCAAGTCTCTGAATTACCAACTCTCCTCTTCCCTATTCCTCCCTCCAAGGCACCAACTACAGGGACACAGGGAAACATTAACCTGAATCCACTTAAACAGAGAAGGAAAATGAAGTCTACAACTTTATCAGCAAGTGCCCAGGCTGCAATTCTCATTACCGCACATTTGGAGGAAACCCCTCGATTCTTGCTGAGAAAGAAAGGTGGTGCAGAGTCTGAGCAACTGGAGCTTCCCAGAAGCTGTTGCCAGTGCTTCTGCTCTCCAGCTGTAAGGAGCTTGCAGTGCAGACACTCCAACTTGAGGTGGCTCCAAACGGTACACATGATCGCACCAGACTGCACTGATGGGTACCTCAGACTCTCCAGGTACACGGTAGAGAGCCTAGGTGTCTAAACCAAGGCTCTGAATTAAATTCTAAAAGGCACACCTAAAAATTAGGTGTTGCAGCACCTGTCTTTTAGATATTCAAATTTAGATATTCAAATAAAAATAATTTCACCTATTGAAGGTTAGAAATAACATTACAGCTTTTAGAGAGGACAGCAGTCACATTAAGTGCTAACTTCCAAACTACAGTGGGAACCCCACGAGCATTAATAACAAAACCACGATATTCTTCAGTGCCTATGCTAGCTCTGTGGTAAGATTTTCAGGATAGACTGGTACCACTGAGATGCATTTTTCCAATGTCTGTGACAATAGCAAAAACCTTTTTTCCTAGATATTTCATAGAGTAACAATGCTTCCCATGTGCTCTTTTAGCATGCAACACTACAAAGAGAGAAGCTCACCATTCTAAGTATTAAAACAAACAAGTTAAAAAAATAAACATTTCTTACACTGACTGCACTGAAATATTTCACAGTTGCTCATAAGATTGCTTAATTTTTAATACCTTCTCATCTAACACTTCATTATAAATCAAATAATTACCATCGCACACATACCGCCTCAACAAACCAGCTTGCAGAATAGGTCTTACAGTTGCAATTAAATACAGAAAGTTAACTGTTGTAAATGTTGTAGCACCCAGCACATCAACAGTCAATGTAATTTCTGACCAGGAATCAGGATTATGGCCTGTGTGGGCCATAATTTTATTTCAATAGTTAAGTAGCTGTTTTCACTTTTTCAAAATACTCCATTATCTTAAAGAGCTATTCAATATATCAAAGGGGCTTATTCTTCAAATGTCTGTTGTGCAATATTTTCCTTTATTGGGTAGAAAGCTAAACCTGAATTTCCTTAGAATTTAAACATTTACTCAGTGTTACACAAGGCAAATTATATATTTTTTACATTTTGTATCCATTTGCATAAGTGTAAATCACTGTGCAGAAGGGTAAGGCAATTAAAGAAAAAGCTCCACAGAACCACAAACCTGAAATAACTATTTTGACTGTATTTTTAATAATAGGTCTTTACTGGTAACGTTTAGACCCACCAAGTCAACGACAAAGCGTACTTGCTTTGTGCACAACAGCTTCTACTTTTTCTAATCTAGGGAAGCTGTGGCATTATAGCTCTAATTTTTCCCAATGTAGAAAACATTTGTGTGCAAAAACCCTGATTTATTATTGACTTAGATGGATTACCAAGCTCTGCTTCCTTCTTTAGCCTTGAACAAAGGCTAAAGTTCATGCCTTCACTGAGTAGCAGATGTTCATGAAGTTTGACCTACTGGGAGAGGAACGTGAACATGAACTCTAACTTCAGCGTATTTCACAGTTAGAAACATATTTGACAAAGCCAGTTCCAAAAAACCCCATAAAAAGAAAATGATATTTCACATAAGTATAATAGAAAATATCTAGTTCAACCTTTGTTTACACAAGATAGAAAAACATGCTTTTCTGGCATTCTAATTTTTCTAATTCCTGTTTCTGCATAATAGATTACGAGCAGATTTTTGGAGAACATACCACTGGTTTGCTTGAGAACAAAAAAGAATAGCGGAGCATTACAACCATTTCAGATTTCAAATAAGCTAGATATAATGAAAGGCTGTTGCAAGATTAGCTCTTGCCATTCAACTCTGAAAAATGGCAACAGTCCCATCAGTGTTGAAGACTAGAGGCAAGTAATTCAATAACAGAATATAATAGCATAATTTTATAGCAACATGTCAGATTTAAGCTAAGCTAGAGATAATTAGAAACTGTTATAAGATTAGCACTTACCATTTAACATCAGAAGATTGTCAGTCCCTGGATGTGGATAACTCAAGCGACCTTAAAAGAAAACAAAAACCAAAGAACAAAACAAAACAAATGCAGAGGGTTTAGCTATTCTGCTAGAAAAAATAATGAAAAATCACTGATTAGAATTTAAATATAAACTATATTTCCAGTTTGCCTAAGGGAAATAAAGAGCTAATATTTAACTCCAAGCACATTAACCAACAATACCCTTGACCTAAGTTAAAGCTGACAAGAACAGACTTCTTAACCTTAATTCTCTGGTCATAAGATCTGCAATGTGCTTTGGGATCAGCTCCAATAGGATAAAGCCACTTTTTGTTTCATGACACCCAGAAATAGTGCTGACTGCTTTAGCCTTCTCTTTCATAGTGACTGTGAATAACTGTACTATGCACATTGCTTAACAGAGTTGCATTTCTACAGTTTAGTGCTTCACTACTGAATCAATTTAAGAAAAATAGCAATTAAGGCATTAAAATTTTATTAATCAATTTATGACTGTATCTTGGTGTATTACATATAACCATTGCATTCAATATTTCTCAGTAAGTCTGGCAAAACTAGAGTACTGTTTTATCTACAGAACTAACAAAATTAAAGCATATGTTACGTAACATTTTGAACATTTTATATTGAATAAAAATTACATTAAACCCCCATATCCTGACGTTAGAATTTTTCAAGTATTGCATTTTACTATGTTGGTAGCATGTTACACTTCAATAGTTAGATGAACAGTTTAAAATGCACAGCTAAAGTGTCTGTTCACTACAAATTCCTTTTTATTAAAGGAGACGTTTTCTGTTTACAGGAAGCTGCAAACATACCAGTAGTGCACACTGACCTAGAGAGACGTTTACAATAGCTGCTGTGTTTGGAAGAAGTGTGCTTTAATGTGCAAAAAACTACATTTCCATCTATCTTGCTATTAAAACATACTTGCTTGCTTATAATCTGTAAGCATATTTAAAAAAAAAAAGCTGTAACTTAAACACTTAAATCTTTTGGAGGAAACGAGAATGTTTGTGGAGGCATAAAGAAGAATCCAGTCTGGAAGGAATGGGTGTTTAGAACTCACACAGGTTTAAAGGGGAAAATATATGCAGATGGCTTGCAAGATGTATTAGTAAGACACTGTCATAACCTAAAAAGGCTCACTCTTTCTAAAAAAAAAAAAAAAAAAAAACCCCCACAGGGGGAAAAAAAAAAAAAAAAAAAAGAAAACCATGCCAGCAATCCATATATTGAGGTTGTCTAACAATTCCTATCATACACTGTTGGGTTTTTTTCACCCCCTACTGTTGGTAAACCCCTGTGATTAGCAGCAAGACTGGAAATTTCTCCAAATAGTAATTCTGTGTCCCAAGGGACACCTTTGAGGTTAAATAAAAAATCTTTTTGCTGAAAATCTGTAAGTAATAGGGTTTAAGTTTTGCTCCTCCCCTTTAGGAAACCAATGTGATAATTTCCTACCAAAACCTATAGAAAAAATATACATTATGACCTCTTACACTCAAAATTTCAGAATAGCAAGATTAAGATCATTTAGGATATTTTATTCAGCCTTATTATTTACAGTAATTGTGGCAAAAAGATTTTCATACAGCTACGTACTATTTCTCTTCCCACAGATTTCATTATTATAAAAATTGATGGTATCAGAACACCTGCAGATTAGGCAGGATCTATTTGCTTTGGAATTTGAAAGTGTGGAGAAAGGGGTGAAGGGCAATGGCAATCTCCTGGAAAAGGGCAGATGAATGCATCCAAAGGGACTCTGCCGCCTTCTCTAACTTCCACAGAATTTTTCAGCAGGCTTAGACAAGATATTAAACAAAAATCTTTGCAGGAGCCTCTCTGTTCATGTTCCCTATCTTCAAGATGTCCAGTTTTAAAATACAAGCCATTTTTTCTGTCATGCTCAACATTTACAGCTATACTTAATGTTTTTTTGAACTATAAATATTCTGCCCTTCTAGCAATGCATGCTGGACTAATGAGAAAAGAATTAGGAACAAGGCATCCTTAATTTGTAATCTGGGAGCTGCCACCGGTTTGTTCAACCTGGTGTATAACAAGTCACTTTGCTTTACTTCTTAGTTCTTTGGTCTATAAAGGTAATACTCATTTCATTTGCTGAACAGCAAGGATTGTACAAGATTATTTACTGTCACCATCGTGTTTATATGTGGTGCTATAGAAATGCTTGCAACAATATGAGCTGTTTCTTGCAAATCAGAATGCTGTAACTATCTAGAATAACAATAGAATTTGTGAGAAATTATTATCTCATCTTGAACCTCCTTGAGTCTGTGGTGACAGTCTTTCTCCCCGTCTGTATACATTTATCTTCTTTTTCTATTCTTCACGGGAGACAAAAGATACATTTTTTTCCCCGTAATTACTACAGAAAAAGGGGTCAGATTTAAGGCCTAGCAGGAGAGAGAAGCCCACCAGTGTCAACACCTGGAGAGGAAAGCTGTTTTAAAAGATAGTAGATTCTGGGTTTGCAACTGTGGTTTTACACTCTTTTGCTCCCCCCGCCCCGCTATAGCTTCACAGACAAGCTGCAGCTGAAACATAGGTACCAAACTGAAAAAGCTGAAATAATACGGCACACCTCATTCAGTAGCGGGGAGAGAGTGCGCTACCGAGCTGGACCCACTCCTGCAGTGTAAAACCTACGAGCCACACAAACGCAAAGAAACCCAATCTCGCTGTGTTACGGAGATGAATTTGCTCACTCAGATAATGAATGACTTGAGCCTTAGAAAGGAAAATGAGTAACAGAGTATTCAGTACGTGTACAGCTGTAGTGATACTTCTTTTAAGTCTTATTTACATGGTTATTTCAGTGAAATCATACTTTGTATTATTGCATTCTGGTGAACTTAGTATTTGTGTTTACTCCCTTGTCTAGTACTTGAGCTGACAACCTTAAAAACATTTTTAATATAGAAGCTTAGTATCTTTTCAAAATATAATCACTGCTATTTGACACCTTAAATTAGGTTCTTATCCCTCAGACTAATCTGCTGAAGCAAAATGCTGCGTTTCTAGGGCGTCCACCTGAATTTAATAATATACATAAATTCGGAAGACTTCATGTGTGGAACTGGGTGCAAGATCAGTCTTATACAGAGCTCAGATTACACTATTTTTGAACACATTATTCTAGTTAAATGGATATATGCAATACTAAACCTCACTTAAAATATCACTATATAAAATAGAGAAGATGGGAGTAATCGTAGGACACTTTATTAATAATAACATTTTATTATTCATTTATTAAATTATGACAAATTACTTCTATCACATATTTCTTTCTAGTCAGTTATTTTCACTGCATGTTGTTTGATGCATTTTTAAAAAAAAGTATCATATGAAGAGCTTCCCTCACCACAAATCCTGTCTAATACCATTCTACTTCAATGTCAGTAATCTAAAGTCATATAAACTGTTCAATAGATATTCTAGTGATTCAGTGGCCTACGCATGCATAAAAGAGAAATTTTATTAATATATAAAGATGTTTTACTAGTTTAAAATCAACTACAAATTAGTTAGAGAATAGCTAAGATTTAAATAATAGACATATTCCATTCCTGAGAAATGAAAAGTAATCACTTCACTGACTGTCTACAGAACTTAACTCTACAGCATCCAAAATTTGAACCATGCTGCTATCTGGTACAAATACAATGCCCAATATTACAGTACTTTATGATAAAGTATCACATTATAGAAATTTTCTCTGTGCAAACCCGAACTTGCAGCTTCATCTTGTTACCGCTAATTAATAATTCTCACGTATCATAGCTAAATTCAAAATAGTATTGCTAAGGAGAACCAGGTATGTTTGACATTTCTTATGCAACTAGAGTTCTACTGAACTTAGCCCCCTCTTCCACATCTAAACGTGACTAATATTACCAGAACTGCTGGTATGTATTTCTCACAATGTATTCTTCTGTAAGGACAGAAAAAAATAAAAAGCTTGCAAATAAATTTTGGTGGGCTAGTTTATCCACTAAATCCAGTTAGAAGTCTTGCTAATCCAAACCATGAGGAAAGAGTAACAAACAGTTTTAGCTACGTTTAACTTAGTTTCTGTAATCTCATGTTACTAATATGGGCAATGGAAATTTAATTTTTTTTGTAAGTTGCTTCTGAGCATACAGATGTAGTTGTGCTTACTCACTTTTCATTTTAAGCCAAATTCATATCTACTTTTGGAAACGCATACTTTCTATTCCTATTTAACTAAAGTGTTGGAGGAATCCCCATATACTTAAATCTATCCCAAATATTTTAATGTAACAACCACTTTAAACATTGCTGACTCACGGTTTCACAAGTTTGATATTTCATGCACACACACCCTTTTTTTTAAAAAAAAAAAAGAAGTCTTAAATGGTTGAATTAATAGACTGAGATTCACAAAATTTCTTCCCATCTTCCTTTTATCAAGAGATCTCCTTACTGGAAGGAAAAAAGCTTCCAAGTTAAGCTTTTCCCAACCCACTTTAAGGGACCAGTGAATAGCTGAGGATTGCAGCAGTTTCAGAAAGCTCAGTTTTTGAATCAGTGTAGTTAAGACAACAGGACAAACCCATGTTTAGACAACACCTAGTTACAGAAAGCCTAGATACTACACTTTCAAATGCTTGTGTAAGAATTATGTAAGTCATAATCAGGCCAAATGTGTTGTCTCTGAGAGTCAGTCTATTTAGGCAAATCAGTCTTAAATATATGCTTTTATCATAAAAAGTTTCTATGACAGAAAGAGGAAACTATCTGTATGCACAATTTCAAAGCTTTGTATACGACGAAGAGTGAAGTTTTTCCTTCCATACTTTTTTGTTCAGCCTCAGAAACTCTTTTCTGAGCTCAATTTGAACTACTCTAGGAAGCAACTGCCTAACTTTAAAACCTTACAGCTTCATAACACAAAATAAAAACCAAATCTCTTTGACAGAAGTTACCATATGCAGAGAAAGAAAATGTTCTCTACTGTGTTGCTGAGTCACCAATGCTTTTCTTTTTACTTCATTGAGCATGTGCCAGCAGGTTGCTTTCAAAAGAAAGATGTCTAAAAGCTGAAAAGCTCAACTAAAGGAATTTAAAAGGAAAATAAAACCAAGCAAAAGCAAGACAGACTTCTAAGTGCATCAAGTTATTTTTCCCCATAGATAAGCTGCATAATAGTGTTTTACTTTTATTATTTACTACTAGCTATACAAAAAAATATATTTGCATAACTTGCCTACAAAATTTGGTTTGCCCCTCACAAAGAAACGGGAGAAAAATTTGACATGAAGTTAATATTCCCACTAACATAGCTATGGGCTAATTCAAGTTCAGTGCTAACTTACATCTAGCTTGCAGAGCTAGAAGAGAGTTGGTCAGGAAACAGAAATGAATTGTAAATCAAGTACATATTCGATACTCTTGCCTTGAAAAACAAGCCCTTAAATTACATATAAAAGACCGCAGTCTTTACTAGAAAGATGTTTAAAACAGTAGATAATGAATTCCATTAAACCACATGCTCCTCAACTCTAATATATATTCCATGCAAAATATAACCATTTCTTCAAAGTTTTTTTTTTCCATAAATTGTTTTAGCCCAAACGTATTGGCTTTCCTGTTTCTGAAGTGTCTAGAATCCAAGTTTTCTACGTCTTGACATCCAGAAGCACTGGTATTTATAGGAGGAGAAGGGAAAAAAATGCAAGTACGCAAGAGGTATGTCTAGAAAAGAGTTTTAATAACCATGCCTATTATTTCAGGTTATCAATATTTTAATTCTCTCAAAATAGTTTTAAGGGCTATTAGAAGAATAAAAAGGATATTTAAGAACAATGATGTAAAAATGAATTAATTTCTTTTAACTTTCACTAATTTTAACTTCAGTTTATATTCCATTGATTGGATGGGGTAGTCTTAAACATTAGTTAATGTCTTATTATGAAATGCATTTCAAGAAAGCTGCACGGGAAAGATTAGTTTTAACATCATCAGTATTTCTGCTGCAATGACTAGTGAAGTCAAACATTTATTCCCTAGTAACCTACCTTGAAAAAAATCTTATTGAAAGCTAAAAATGACTTCTTTCTTTTTATAATGTCTGTAGTAATTACTAAACTTTGTCTAAGTGAAGCTGAAACTAGGCATCTATAAACAATTTTTTGGCAGGCATAAACTTAGCTTTCACTTCATAATATATAGTTCTTTCAAGTTCATGAAAGCAAAAGTGGTGAAATTTGTCTCTCTCCTAAAATGCATCTTGAAATGCAAAACTTAAAGCTGTGAGCTAGTACACACAGCGTCTGTTCTGTATTGTGCAAAAAATCTGAGACAAGATGCTTAGTCATTCTCCAGATATTGTAAGCAGCTAAATCTGAAACACGTGCTTAAAATTCCAGGGACCTTCATTTAACTGCTGTGGTCAGATATAAAAGATGCATTGTTTTAGCGTGCTTAGATTTACTTAAAAACTTGTCATAAAAATATTCTCTAGTTACAAAATATTCTTTACTTATAACAAAGCACGTTATATATTAATACAAAAAAAACAAATAAATAACAATAATATTCTTAACACTTCACATTCTGCAAGCAAATATGATGGGTTCTTAAGTAAATGTCGGATTTTCCGTAGTGAAAAGAAAAGCCATAGGGACTGAAATAACAGAATTAGTGTTTCATGGTTTGCAGAAAAGAAAAAAGTTAAAGTTGCCAGAAGTTACAGAAATGCCAACTAATGGTGACTAAACAGAAGAGAGGCAGAGAGGAACTAAAAGTCTATACTAGGATGTGATCTCTTCTTCCCATTTTCAGTCAGTAAGGAATATTTCTTGTGTCTTACTGTTACTTTTTCAGCTGAAATAATAACTTCCAAAGAGAAAAAAATACCTTCATCAAGCAATTTAAATAACAGCACACAATTACTCTATTTAAATTCAGTTGGTGTGTGCATTGTTCTCTGGCACTCAAACAAGAAAAATGAATTTCCTTTGAATTCATCACTATCTATGGCTTCCATCTGTTTTAGGTCAAACATAAAACTTAGCAGAATTTTCACTGCAAGAATATGATGGTGAAACTGTTAAAAATAATCTCTTAACTGTAGACTGAAACCATATACTCATGTCCCTAGAAAGCACAGAATAACTATGGAAAGTTTACTAAGTTTTTCAAGTGTCTATGAATGAACCCAATTCACTTTAACATCTTGAAGCTTTGTCTTGTCTTATTCTTGCTGAAAAATGGTTGTTGGAAATACATCGTTTTCATCTATTGTATCATAATGAAATATGGAGATAGGAATAAAAATAAAAATGGGTCTTTTCTCTGCTCTCTGTGCCTCTGAAAACCAGATTGGTTTTCAGGAACCTGAGAAGTGCCAATGACAGTATATTGTGACAGAAGATCTGCATTCTCTAATTTTATGCCTAACAGTAGCTTTACCTTTTACTATCCTTCCTGATGGCAGATTTGGGTTCAGATAACCAAAGAAATATTAGTCACCACCTGACTGTGTCACATTGAAGCAACAATGCTTTGAAACAGGGATGATCTAACTAGTTACCTTGTCTTTGATGACACATGCACGCTTACCGTGCACAGCAGTTACCACTGGGCTAACTATTCACAGGTTTCAACCCCTTTATGTTACTTAGTAATGTTTTGCAAACATGCAGAATAGACAGAAACTCAATTTAATAATGGACTTAAATGATAAAATTATTAAAACTGGAATTAATTCTCTGTAGGCAGTAAGAAACAAGAAATCAGATTTAAGAAAAGGAGGAAAATTAACTGGCTAAATGCTACCTACTTACTGATGCTTTGTAGAGATTTTCAGCTTGAAAAAAAACAAACCACAAACTTTTGGCTTTACATTGGAAATCTTACAATACTATTACATGCTATCTGAATACTACAGGTCTTCCAGCTGATTACAGATCTTAACAGAACCATGAGCAGACTCTGGAAAAGTGTCTTTCAAATTAGGAGAACACAGGCCCTTATGTACTAAAGTAATATATAGCCTCTAGAAATGGAGAATGGATGGGAGTAAATAACAATATGAAAAGAAATATTTTTCTATTTTTTTAATTTTTTTTCCTATTACTTTAATACTGAGACTTAATTTCTGCAAAGCAAGCCTGAAGTCTCGGGTAACTTTAAAACTAGATTGTGTTAGTCTAATTATAACACCACAAATGAAGTAACATTTGATCAGACCACATAAAATGGCTTGGGCTCCCTGCCCCAAAATTCAATGGTAAATGCCACCTGAGAACAAGTACAGGAAAACAGAATTCAGAAGAGTGAGTTAATGTACAGCAAATAGTCGAGTTAAAATTGAAGCCCACAAATATTAGCTATATGCTTACTGCTGTGGCCAAATGATTTGAACAGAGCCCAGAAGGGTAAGTGGAACCAGCATTCTAAAGCCAAGTGTATTTCTGGACTTCTTCAGACAAACAAAAACTGGACAATTAAGTGCATTATTACCCTCCAGAAGCTTTGAAAAAAATACTTGAAAGGGTAAAACCTGAATTTATCAGTGGACCTAATTTTCTTTTCAGCTTCCACTGCAAAGAAAGGGAAAATTAACCGGCTAACACTGGCAGCAGTTTGATTCCCCTCCCACCCTCTTTAGGCTACCTCTAACAGAACAGTGTATCTTTACAAACTGAGGTAGAATTTCGTACAGCAGACAAGTAAATTTCAAATAAAACTATGAATTTCTTGGGGGAAAGGAGGGATGGAGGGGAGAGGGAGAAAAACCTATGAAGACACTAAAGCTTAAGTTTTAAACAACTGTAAATGAATGTTTTCAATAAAATACAGCTTGAGATTGACCTTTCATGCGAGTTGAGAAAATAGTTCATTTGCTATTTTAATATGAACCTAGAATCTAAATTAGCAATCAGTATTAATTCAAATACGCAGAATGGATGACCCTTTTTTCTTTATTTAGCATAATAACATACCTTTAAGTGGATCATGCTCTGCTCTCATAATGTCAATAAGGGAGTTTTCCAAAGAGTGCATATTCAGACTGTCATACATTCTATTTCGATCCTAAAAGAGAACAAAATCCTTAGTATCGGAATACAAATTCTGTACTTTTTAATAGGAAACTTGATAGGGAGACAAAGGTGCCTTCTAAAGGCTGTACGCTCAGACACTATGGAGATGCACGACGATACAAAAGCTTAAGATACCTGATTTTATTAACAGTTAAGTTTAATAGCATCCAAATATAAAACTAGAGATGCACTGTGAAGAACTCTTCTGTGTATGCGTTTTGATAGCATGTGATTGCCTGTTTCCTTCAGAAGAACTGCTTGAATCAGTTGTACTGAACCACAGCAGAGTTAAGCATTAGGCTGTTTGATGCAGGAGGAGCTACAGGACAAGGACAGACACCTCATATGAAAGAAAGCATCTTCTTGGTGCTTGGCTAAGTACCTTGCATGGTCCCTCAGCCCCCTGCTGTGACTGTGCTTCCTGGCTTCTGAGTGATTAATTGGAGACCCTTTGCATACAAAGACTTGAGTTACAAATGGTCAGCACTAAGTGGTTAAAGGTTCGAAAATTAAAGCCAAACTATGAAAAGAAAATGTCACAAAGCTTACTGATAGATTACCAGCCTTACAGAGAACAATTTTTTTGCACATTAAGCTTAAGAAGTTACCATAATGTCCTACAAATATTTTCACTGAAGGCAATTAAAGTTATTATAATAAATCATAAATATTTTCACTGACTTGATGTTCAACTAAGATATTCTCCCACGTTTTCTAATACATCCAAGTTACAGAGACAGAAAAAGATGACTTCTAAAGTCTTTGGTCTTTCTGGGATAACTTCACAGACTGAAAATAATTTGTGTAAAACCTTAATGTCTTCTATTTGCAAGGCTTCTGGCTGGACTGTATTGCACTAAAAGGAATACTGTAACCATGCCTTAATTTTACTGTTGTCTGCTCTCTGGCTGCACTGCAGTAATTCAACAAAGTAGGATGAAATATACCACACACATCCCCTGACCGTTAAAATTCACTACAGATGCAGCCATCCACTTAGTACGTATGAAACGGGGACAGAAGGTATCTGACCCACACCCACTGTGATTTTCCATGACAGTTTGGCAGAACATAGACTATGTTCAAACTACATCCCTCAGCAAGCAGGTATTCTTCACATTTGGGAAGTGGAAAAGCAAGCTTGGAAATAGAGGTTTTCTAAGAATCAGAAACTGTGACTTATCAACAGCTTTGCAAAACAAGCCATGATGAAACTAAGATTTTACTTTCATCTTTCTTAGAAAGTTTAGTCATCTTGATACAATGTTGGGATGAAGAGGGAAAAGCCTTTTTTGCCAGCTCGCTCTCCCTCAAACTATAAAGTAATGACTTCCTGCTGTGTTCATTTGATTGGATCCTTTATATTTTTTTTTTTTTGGAAGCCATTAGATAATTTTAACGATAAATTTAAAAAGTAGGTTTCTCATCTCCTGCTATGTCGCAGACCACATGCCATGACACTTTGCGAGGTGATCTTCTACCCAGTTTGAGTGCCAACAAGTCAACAGTACTATTTTAGTTCACAGCAGCCTCCTTTGGGACTGGCTGGCTTTTGTTCAGTTGTCTAGCTGTCCTGAGAAGCAGCAGAATGAAACTGAAGTGACTAATCTGCTTCCATGCCCTTGCAGGTTTGTTTCTCAACAGCACAATGAAAAGAACCTGCTTACCATAGCAAACTTGCTTTCTATAGAAGGTGTGAGCAGTGACAAAGCCGGATCTGTTCCCTACTGTCCCCTAGCATTCAGAAGGTATCTCATCAGGATTTTTAATAACGTCTTAAATTCAGCTGAAGTCAGTAATTGGTAGGTATTAAGTGCCCTTGCAAAAACTAACGCTGAGTAAACAGAAAACGTGCTTTGCTACCCCTGTGTGTGCTTTGATAGCATGTGATTGCCCGTTTCCTTCAGAAGAACTGCTTGAATCAGTTCTAGTGATCCACAGCAGAGTTAAGCATTAGGCTGTTTGATGCAGGAGAGTAATGTCTGTAGAGCTCAAGTTCATTTCACGCAAAAGTTAAATAGTGAGTAAGGTGAGAAAGCGGAGAAGAACTACTATTGGTAAAAACTGGACTGAAATTTATGTGTGACACTATCTTTGTTACAGGCTCACTAAATAATATGTTCTTATTTAGTTTTTGATCATTGCTATACACATGTACGTTGAGATAACACATGACTATCTGGCAAATGGTCATTACTGCAGGCTTAGCTTTGCTCTGGATGGCAGAAGCCTGTAAGAAAGGGCTCCATCATAGTTAATTCCTAAAACTGGCCCGCTTGGTCATGGATCTTACAGAGAAATGCAAAAGTAAAACATGTAACATTCATTTGTAAACTGCTCCAGTTGCAGACATGGAGCAATGATTGTAACTTCACTCTTGCATCATTCTGTTTTGCAAATTCTGTGTATTCAAATTAAAAGGTCTCATGATGCTGGAAGCAGAAGAAACAAACTTTTCCCATCCCCTTTACACCTTAGAAAGGTCACGACCATAAAGCTGAAAAAGGAGGTTTGTTTCTTTGAATTGTATTACTTCCTTTCTAGCAGTGGAAACATGCAATAGGCATACACCATACAATACAAAAATGTTGTGGATACACTACAGTAAAGCAGGATTGAAACATGGGAATTGTATTCTGCTATCACACTACCCACACCACAGTATGCACTAGTGAGTTTGGCTAACATCTAGGTAATCAATGCTTCAAACTTTTCAGATCTATTCCCATTCACACTGATGCTCTACATGCTATAAAGCAATATTATCTGAAATTTAACTGTCTCAAAAGGAGCAAGTCATTCTTTGGGTACAAGGTTCATTTTAAACCTTTCTGCAACTCAGCTTTATAATGCTAAAACACTGCTTTGTGCTCCCCAAATATGTGCATCGTATCTTTAAAGAGCACAGTTATCATCGATGCAAATATGAAGCTTGCATTTCAAAGCAGAACTTAAAAGTATTTCAATGATGTAGGTCATATCAGCAAAGATTTTCTAGAAAGTTCTGCTGCAGAGAAATAACCACAATGGTTTAAGAGGGGATGGTTCTACTATAGCATGCTCTGCTTGATCAGAAAGCTTCCACTGTGATTTTCCTCAATCTTTGGGACAAGCACAAGCAGTATTACCCCTGAACATGCTTGTTTCAGATAGTTTTCCATGCACATGGAAACCGTCCTAATTCTTGGGACTATCTTTAGTTTCATTATTTCAGCACGGTTGATAAGCAGTTATCTTCTAAAACAACCTGGAGCTACCTTTAAAACAACATGGAAATAGTTCTAATTCTTGGGACACTTTCCATGTTGTTTTAAAAGTAGTTCCAGGTTGTTTTAGAAGATAGCTGCTTATCAACCGTGTTGAAATAATGAAACTAAAGACAATCAGTAGCACAAAGACACTGATACATAAGCGTATATGTTAATACAAGTTTTGTATTATCTGACTCCAAAAGTTCCTTTTGTCAAGGCTGAATTCCTGTAAAATATTTTTGCATTTCCCCTCACCTCTGTGGCTCATCAGTCCTGTGCTAAGAAGCAAGTGAACTCCTTGTGTCAGAAGGTCCGTATATCAGTGGAATGTCACAATATAATGCTAGTTTTCTCCCCGGAGCCGACAGTTAACCTCTCCCAAGCACTACAAATTCTCACACTAGCTTTTCATTTCTTTTTAACTGTATAAGCATTGGAATCCTGCTTCACCTACCTTTCCAATACCAGAATCGCAACCGCACTCATACACAGCAGAATTGAAAATGTGGTTTTGGTATAACTGCCGACAGATTCAGAGGTATATCGCTAAGTGACAAACTGTCACCTCAACTTAAAGGTTAAGACCATGTAAGAAAGTTTACAGAAAAGTGGTAATTCTTTCTGAATTTTTACAAATTTACACAATATAGGAGAAGCATGATGTATCCTACCAATAGAATATGGCTAGTACTAGAAGGACTTTTTGACAACGTTATGCAAAATACATCTACAGAGTGTGCATTTCAGAAGTCCTCCCCCAGACATCTAAAGGTGGAATGAGTCAGAGGAGGGCAGCTTTCTCTGAAGAGCAAGTTTGAACACTGAATTGTTAGACAAATAATTTTTCTCAGGACAGTCTATTTCAGACTTCTAAATATGTCCATGCAATTTATGCAAAGATTATCCTGTTTGAGCATTTGCAGAAATGCAGTGCAGTCACATCTCAAAGCATATATAGTCATCTATGCATTAAAAAAATACAAGGACAGAAGCTATTAAACAGTGAATACGATTTTGCTAATCTTTAACCACAAACACTAAAAATAGATGCTCATAGTTAAGAAGTTAAACAACTTTGAATTTTGGACACATGCTTTAAACTACTGATCTGTAGGACTACTTAAAGACTTCCGACATAGAAACTAAATTTAGTAAATGCAAGTATCTTTAAAATCTGCTCCTTTACATGTCCTTTCATGTTCTAAAGAAATGTAGCACCATCCAATGGAGGCTGGAAACAAAAATAATAAAGCTTCTAGTCTCAAGCATGGTTCTTAGTTGCCCGCAAAGACTCTGTAGCTTTGACCTTGCCGAATTAACTGGACTTTTAAAATGCCCAATTAAAGAGACTTTCTTAAAATCAGTTCCCAAACTGAAGTGTTAACAAGTTCCACTTTTTTCCTGTAAAACTGACCTGAATAAAAATGTGTTTTAAGACTAGAAAGTGACAGGTGATTTAATAATAAAGATATGGCAGACAAAGTACCCAAATACAGTATTCAGTGTTGATGTTAGCAGTAATAACCTGACAATTAAGTACATTATACATTCTAAAATATCACCTTTGCTAACATCCAAACTTCAAGTCATTCTCATTTTAGTGAAGACATACTGTAATCATAAGGCCCTGGTTGAAACCATGACTAGTGTAAATGAGAAACTTAATATGAAAACCCATGACAACCACAATTTTAGTTCTATAAAAAAGCAAGAAGGAAGGCTTGAAGTAGACACACGAAGT